AGGACTTGGCAACATATGGGCGATTCCACAGCAGGAGACCCAGCATAAGAGCTTCGACTATCAGCTGACCTGCAGACTGAACCAGTCCATGGCCATTCGCCCCGGCAATGACACACCCCTTGGCGAACATGTAGACAATGGCGGGGATGAAAAGCCACCAGTAGTCCTTCTTGTAACTGTCGTAGAAGAGGCTGTACTTGCGCCAGGTCTCTCTGTTCTCGTACAACGCCGAGGCATCACCTTCAGATCTTTTGTATTTTCGAGCCAGATGCATAATACGGAGTCCAAAAAACATTAGCACACCGGTGAAGACGGCAAGCGTGACGACGGCGAGCACCTTTGCAGCCCACGAGTCCCCGCTGGTCAGTTGATAGATGCAATACAGCACCCACATGCCGTACAGAATGAGGATCAAATTGGTAATTGTTCTAGCCAGAAGACCCCAATAATCTTTGCGGAAGTCTTTAAGCTTTTCAGGGAACGATCCGTACAGAGCCCATACTTCGAGGATGACTTTTAGGAGCAGGATACCCACAGCGATGGCGGCGACGACGATGGCAAAAATTAGCAGGACTGTCATGAATGTGTTCGCCTGGGGGATGGTGAGCTGCTCCGCGTAGGCCTCGATGCCAGAAACGGTTTTGTGGAAGGCACTCTCATCGCTGTCAGTCGAATTGCTCGACGTGGTGTTGCTATTGAAAGAACCTGACAGATCTCTGGTGGCCAGATCGACGGCGCCCACGATCAGATTCAATCCGCGCTTGACTTTCGAGGTTGTATTCGTCGAGGAACCGTCCGAGTACGTCAAAGTGGCATTGCGAAGAAACTCATAGCTATTTTGCGTGAGATTGCCACCGGTGGCTTCTCTGAAGTGGTCGATGGCCGTTTGCATGTCACTCCACGGAATCAAGCCGGTACTGAAGGCGAAGTTCTTGGTGAAGCTGCGATAGATGGTGGGATAGCTGACACTGAGCATGCCATTGGTAGCCATGCTATGAAACCAACCCATCACATCGCCGAAACTGGGACTGGACGAACTCGCTCCGGGGTGGCCAGCCGTGCCCAGGGCAGACAGTCCGCTCAAAGCTAGTGCAGCACCTGCCACGCCTACCGCGGCGTAGGTGACTCCCTGGACTTGCATGGTCTTGCCGTTGGACAGCCCGGATTGAATACAAGCAACATCCGTCCCATCGTCCTTGGACTTCAGTTCAATTTTGGCGAGTCCGTCCAAATCGGGAATCTCGAAAGCAATTGAAGGGATCTGGCTGGCGTACTCCTCCGGAATTTGCTGCGTTCCATGTGCTTGAAAAGAACCGGCGGGGACTGGCCATATCTATTAGTGGATACTGATAACCGATCTCCGCAGAAAAATGATACGTACCAGGACAGAGTTGCGCGACGTAATTATCGGAGCTGCAAGGGTTGAAATCCTTCGAATAAACTTGGTTGCCATATGCAGTCACAGTCAATGATGCAGTAACATTTTGTACTTTCTTGCTTGTCCCGTCAAGATTGAAAACGACTTCTCTCGTGGAGCGAGTGTAGGTTACTGATAGTTCGTTGACTTCAATGTCGGAGCCAGTTAAACAAGTTGATACGTCGTTAGTACTGATCGTGTCTGCTGCAAGAGTCCGAGCCATCAAGAAGCTCGCGATCAGGGGAAAGGAGAGGATCCGCATCTTGGAGATTTGATAGTCCTGAGTCTCCAGTCGTTCGATTGAACTAAAAGAACTTCAATGCGAGGTGGCTTCAATGCTTCGATACGGATTGTCTGTCGCAAGGGAAACGATAGATATAGGTATTAGTGCCGATCCGCGCGAGGCTGGCGATAGAAAAGTATGTATGTAAAGCTTTGCTAATGCTGAAACGATTGAGCTGCAACTGAGCTAGTTGGTCGAATCAGAGCGTACAACAGGGTCAACCTGTCTCCAACGGTAGAAAGAGGAAGAATGGTTTCTCTCAAAACCCAAAATGCTCTGCTGAATGGTGCTGGCAATGAATTTCACTGACAAATGAAGAGAGAGAGGTCACCAAGGAGCGACATGTAAGTTGGCGATGTCTTCTGAGGATTAGAAAGTCACCATGCCCCTCTCACAAGCAGTGAGTAGTCCCACACTCTACGCTTGGAATCACTCTTTCTCTCTTTGTTCCTCAAGGCCAGTTGGGAAAAACAAAGAGAGAAAAGTGGACTCCGTAAAGTCGAGAACGCGAGATGAAAGACTTGAGAGAGAGGGACAAGTCAATGGGTAATAGGAGATGCGAATAGTCAGGAGACACGGAGTAAAGAAAGGAAATTCAAAAGCGAGAGAGTGTGTGCGGTGCGTGTCAGGTTTGAGAGGAAGAGACTGCTGATTATTGTTTGTTGCTGAGCAATAATAATGAGACGACCGCCCTAAACAGGTTGGCCTGCAGAACAAAGGTCAAATAAGAACAGAGCTAGAAGAACCAAACAAAAAAAGAAAAAGTGAAGTGTCAAAGACAGGAGGACATAGAGAAATGGATAGTTAGATAGAGTGAGAGTGCAGAGTAAGCGGAATATGCAGCTTCATTGGCCATGCAGAGAGAAGAGGTTGGACTTGGACGGGAGGTAGTACAGTACAGGACTATGGGTTATTCCAGAATAATACTAGTAGGTAGTCTAATTATATTATTCTTTGCCAAAATTACCTACCCATACGATCCATAAGGATGGATGGAATGGATGTCTTTCCAACTCCCACTGAGGTACAGAGAACGGAGTAGTATCCCTCCATCCATTGGGCGTCTACGGCAAAGTATCAGTCTGGCCAGTTAGAGGTTATAATTAAGAGTACAGGTATCTGCTATCTATTGGCTTGGGTGGGATTTATTTGCTGCTGGAGGAATATATGGGCCTGTAAGATATCAGGAAGGTCATCGGCTGGTTCGAGGCTCTGACAACTTGCCCCTGAGTGTTTCATAGCCCGGTGTAATGCTGCTGCTCATTGGTTTAATATTCTCTTCAATGTGGATCGCATTTCTGAATGACGCCGCTTGGAGCTATTCTTTTTAGTCTAGACTCTTGTACTCCGTACGACTACATGACATTTCAGATGTGTGACTGTGCTATTTTAATCACAGGTTCAGTAAGGTAGGTACTGGGGGGATTTACAGAATAGATAGATAACCAATGGTACCCTGGCCTAAGGGACGGGATTTTCTTCTGGTACCTGGTAAGGTTAAACAGGTAACCATGGATTGTCATTAATCAGGTACTTCAGTTATTTAACCATCTGCTGTAACTCAAAAGGACAATGATGGTCCTACAACTCAAGAGTAAGGTTTATCCAAGGCAGGTATTATTATGTACTCATACTCGCAAGGAGTCAAGGTAATAGGTGTCTACTCCATACCTATTTCCACTGGGCTGAACCACCCCACTTCAAGTCCGCCACACGGCCACAGGCGACTAGGACGCAAGTACTACTCCGTAGCGCCACAGCTATGCAAATTCCCTCCCCGATACAGCAGTACAGGTAACAGAACAATAACCACCACCATTATTGGTACCTTACCTACTAGTACTTACCCCTGGCATCTACCTCTGTGGTGCACAGAATGTATGTACATCTGTTGCCTGTCGATTCTCAGGGCCTCAATTCGAGGTCGGCACAATGAAGATCACCTATTCTTCCGGATTGTCAGACAAAAACCAATGAGTCTACCAGAGGTATTTCCTCTCCTTTGATTATTCCTGCGTTCTGACACAATAATAACCTCTGGAATCCTAATAATCCCAAGTTGTCATTCCTCATTTCTTGGAACTCCAACCCAAATCGGGTAAGAATCTGCATAAACTATATAAACGCGAGGTAGCACGTGTACTCCGTAGTGATGGGCAGGTTCGTCAAGGAATCCAAACATATCTCAAAAAGGTCGAAATCGAACTTCTTCTACCTTTAAATTTGAGGTCTGGTGGTTGCAACCTGCAAACCAGGCGTGAAACGATCTATATATGAGCCGAATAGGTATCGAGTAGATACGCCGCTATGTATGGCCTCTCCAACGTCACGGGATTACCGAAATCGAGGTCAGAGAAATGGATTGCCTCTGGTGTTAATAAGAGTGGATAACCTATGACTCCTTTTTCAAGTCCTTTTAACTTTCATCCTGTATCTATAGAGAAGTTCGAACACTGGCATAACTCACGTTCCTTTCAGTTCAACTTTCTTCGCCTCCTTTTACAATTGACAATACCAGGTGCGTCGTCCACCTACTCAAATGACCTAGTCCAGGAGAGAGTTGCTTTGCTATGCGCACTGTGCCTATGAATCATTGCGTTGGTCTTCCAGTTGAGTAATGGTATTGACTGTGGTTGGCACGATGAGCCCAGCAACTCCTAAGGAACAATTCCTCGTGCTGGAACCACCAATCTTGTGATGTTAAACCATAGATAGTTTCTCATACAAAAGCGATTGATCTTCCTCCACCACTGGCTGTGCATAAGTAATATGCGAACATTGTTGCTGGTCCGTCACACCATTCGTTGGTGGTGAAATGGACCAAATAAATTCACCGTTTTGGACGGGGACCAGAGTAAGAACAAACCAAATTATTGAGCACCCCACTTCACCTAATTTGAGACTTGACGATTGATTGTCGACCCGCCTGAGTGGTCCTTGTGGCTGAAGCACAGGTAAATGCCTGTCTGCTTCAGAAAAAATGTGAATTTTCGACGGGTTGGTCACTTGGTACGGGGTAGCGAAATATTGTAAGTGAGCTTTGCCATTCTCATCAATCAGTTATCAACGGCTATCGCAGATTTGCAAGCCGAAGAATGCAACCCCGTCATCTCACCCATGGAAAGGATTGAAAGCATGACGCGAAATATGACCCCGTCTCGTGGCTATTGTAGTGGTCGAACCTGGACCACAGATAACACGAAGCACTTCCCGAGTAGAGTCCCCGAAATTCCCACACATTGTACAGAGAACGGGGAGTTAAGCGTTCCCACCAAAGGACAGCAATAACAAAGGAAATAATCACTTTCGTCCTGCCGATTTCTCTTGTCTCTCACGCATCGCAGCTCTTGCACTCCGGCTACCGCCCAGTTTAGGACCCCTTGGGACGTCGGGCTTCGCTGCGGTCTTCGTATTCTTCGTTCGGGTCACGCGGCGACGAGACTGAATGGCATCGAGGAACTCCCTCCGAAATTGCTCCGCAACCCTATCATCAGCCGCCTGATCGTCTGGCAGGGCTTCCTCTTCAGGTCCATCATAAACGTCCACTAAAGTGAATTGACACATTAGCAATGGGCCGACAACCCACACAGACTAGGAGTTCGAGTACATAAGACATACATTTGCTTTCACGCAGGACTTCTTCCACCAGCCTGTCTCTTTCGATATCCTCGCTGTTTCGCCGTTTCCGATTGCGCCACGGCCTGCCATCCTTCCCTGAAGCAGCGATGCTGGAAGTAGAGTCTTCGTGGGCTGGCGATGCACTACGATCATCTCCCACAAGTCTCCTCGTCGCAGCTTCTGTCCGAGCGATGTTCTGAAGTTTCGTTTCTTGCCCGAGATCAATCTCGTGCAGTTTACCCAGAGACGCTGGCTCGCGCTGCAAAGCCACCGTTGTCGAAAGACTGTCGGAGCTTGCTAGGCTAGTTGCAGAATCGTTTGAGCCAGCAGTATCGTCGGGCATCTGCTGTCTGTGTCGTTTAGCCATTTCGGTTTCTATATAAGCCATCCTTATCTTGTTAGTCTCTATCACAGACAGCACACTGTAGATAATATGTGGAATCGTACATATGCTTGTCAACATCCACTGTTTGGCCAGTGTACGCTGTAAACCGATCGCACATAGCTCGTATCTTCTCATTTTCAAGATCTTCAGCTGTTACTGTCGTCACCGCAGCTTGATTGCCTGTTTTATCTGTGCTTTGTCGAGAGGTGTTGGAGAATTCAATACCACCTTTCCGAGCTCGCTGCAGACGTCGTAGACGGGCGAGTTCTGTCGACGAAACCATGTCGTTTGACTGTGAAAGAGGTTGAGTTGAGGATGAATCATTATCATGAATGCTGTTTGCATTTGCGCTGTGAGCTTCTTGTGAATCTTCAGGCTCGAGCTCCCGGCGTCGCAAGAATTTCCTTTTCTTGATCGGCCGAAAAAGCGTTTCAGTATTCGGACTGATCTCTGTATCCATGCTGCCCAGGTAATAGTATGTGTAGTCGAGTATAGAACAGGAAGCGGTAGAGGATGGTTGACTTGGAAGATGGAAGAATGTCAAAATAGCTTGAGTTGGCCACCACGCGATGATGCAGCCAAAGAAGCTGGTGGTTGGTCTCCGCTGTTGGCGCCCGCACGCTGTTTAGGATTTCCGCCGCCGCCGCGCCGCAACAAGACGAATTGACAGTCCCATTTTACGTACCTGCACAACCTGTCGATCTTGAGCTGGAACTGTCTTACAAGGAAGGTCTGGCAATAATATTTGGTGGCTTGATCAGCTTTAGCAGCTTCACTTGTGAGCAAAGGAAGCAGGACGCAGTCCGCCTCAACTTCTAAGCAGGCTGTACCCCTTCGAATACCAAAATGAACCCTTCAATTCCACCTTCGACTGCCGAATACGGTGGAGGTATGTTGGACCTTATCGGCTATATCTGAAGCGTTGAATGCTGACTGCGTTATGCGTACAAGATGAGATATCGGCCATTGTTCTTGACCCAGGATTTTCAACAACGCGCGCAGGGTTTGCCGGTGAAGATACACCGAAATCAGTGATTCCGACATACTATGGAAAGTACACCTATGAAGCGCAAGAGAAACATATCTTTGGCGACGACATCTTCGTCACTCCCCGCCCCGGGTTCTCAATTCATAATCCGATGGGAAGGGACGGCGTTGTGGAGGACTGGGACATGGCGGAGAAAGTGTGGGAGTACTCTTTTACATCGCGATTGACCGGACCAAAGCCTGGGAATCCTTTTCAGAACGGCCTGAACGATGTCCCCAATGGCGAACTGCCTTCAGAAATGGAAGGGGTGGAAACTGAGGAGAAGCCTCTTGCGGACAGCCCCCTCCTCATGACTGAGTGCGGTTGGAATCCTACGAAAGCGCGCGAGAAGACCGTCGAAATCGCTATGGAAAAGTGGGGGACGCCAGCCTTCTACCTGGCCAGAAATGGTGTTCTTGCAGCGTAAGTTTTTATCATTTGATTCACTCATTCTCTTAGCTGATCATTGTGCTTACGGCTCCTAGCTTCGCTGCCGGTAAGGCTTCAGCTTTGGTCGTTGACATTGGCGCTTCCAACATTTCCGTGACTCCAGTCCACGATGGAATGATACTGAAGCGCGGTGTTCAACACTCTCCCCTCGGAGGCGACTACATTTCATCGCAACTCCGCGCTCTGTTCAAGACCAACTCACCACAACCGATCACTATCACACCCCACTATCTCATCGCCTCTAAAACAGCCGTCGAGGCTGGACAGCCCGCACAAGCGAAATACAAGACATTCCCATCTGACAAGGCGCCGGATGCGTCCTACCGCACCCTCATGGAAGAACGAACGCTGTCTGAGTTCAAGGAGTGTGTTGTCCAGGTGTGGCCTGGACCCAACAAACTCTCTGCTACCGGTCCGAACGGCGTCTCCAATGAGGAGGTTGCGAAGAGCAGTCCTGGAAGACCCTTTGAGTTCCCCGATGGCTATAATCAAGTGTTTGGGATCGACCGGTACAGGGTGGTGGAGTCGTTGTTTGACGCCAAAGCGGCCATTCCAGACCCTGAGTCGGCGTTCCCAGCACCAACTCAGGCGCAGACTGTGCCAGAACTTATCAAGGCTGCGCTGAACGGTGTTGATGTTGATGTCCGTCCCCACCTCCTAGCAAATGTCGTCGTCACAGGCGCATCGAGCTTGCTCTATGGCTTCACCGATCGCTTGAACCAGGAGCTTATGCAGAGTTTTCCTGGACCCAGAGTGAGGATCTCTGCGTCCGGGAACACGGCGGAGCGGAAGTTCGGTTCGTGGGTTGGAGGCAGCATCCTTGCCAGTCTGGGGACCTTCCATCAAATGTGGATTTCAAAGAAGGAATACGACGAGCATGGTCCGAACATTGTTGAGAAACGCTGCAAGTAGCTCACGCCATGAACCTCGTGCTGTTGAACCTGTAATTCGGCCTCATTTTTTCTGCTCTGCTCAACCTATGTGTATCAGGACGCTTCATCCTCGATCGTGTTGTAAGTCTGTTCGGTTTGTTCATTTCTACAGTGGCGTTTTATGTGCTATCAAACTACTATTGAAAGGCAGCTTCAGTCCCCCCCCCACCCTCGGCGCCCCCTCTTTTTTTCCCTCTCTGTCTTCTAAATAGGGCTTGGGCTTTTGGAATTTTTGAGCTATACGACGCAAAGGAAGAACGTATTGTGCCTCTGTCCTTTTTCGCCCTATGATTGTATGAGTAATTTTGTGTCTTTCAATTCAAAGTGTTGTCCGAATCTCAGACCGTATATGGATTGACGACTACTCGAACTAAGACATGTTGTTCCATAAACACAGCCAATTCGTAGCCGTGATTGATGACGTCTACCGCAAGTGTATATATGGCAATGTCTCGGTTTCTCGACCGCCGGCGCAGAGACAAGGCTGAATCTAATAAGACGCAACCCATTTGACTATTAGCAGTCTTACAACAGGCTTATCATGATGGAAGCCAGGCTCGCGCTTACTTCCGGATACGACGGGCTCCTGGAAGCGTTTCGGTGGTGACAGCAAGCCATTGGGCATCTCTGTGCCAGGCAGGGGCAAACCACTACTCATGGCAGGCAATGCGACCCCTGTACAGGTGCTTATCCTTCCTGTTCAGATTTCAGGAACCACGAGCTCCTTGTTTAATCTGCTGCACCGAGGAATTGGTGTGGGTCGGTATTCAAGTGCAGTTCAGTGCCTTGGAATCATTGATTTCAGTAATGATCAAGGCCAGCGAATCCCTAATCGAGTCCAAACAACCATTCCGGAACGTGCTGTACCTTCAATGTTCAACAGAACATATTGTGAGCAGTGTATCTCTCATCCGGACGCAGATGGAACACGGGGGAAGCTTTCAAGAATCTGCAAATATCAGCTTTACAGAGGAATAACACTGAACGGCGGTGGCTGTGCTCACCGTGGGTGGTGCCGGAAGGGCCGTTATTATTGATTGACCATCTCCGGCCGAATCTTCCCTCTTCTCATTGCCATAGTAGTGTTCTTCTTCCGATTCTTGAATCAGGCTTGTATGTACGGAGAGGACATGAATTCTAGGAGCAACGTTCCGTCTTGGCTTCAACGAATATGTGTTCAATATCTCAGTTCCTTCCTGCAGCCAGGCCATTTGTTGCTCTAAGTCCTTCTCAAAGAAGGTCGTCCGCGAGCCAGGAATATCAGAGATATCAGTAGCCCTTGCACGGAATACGCTCAATGGACCCTCTTTTTTCTTTTGGGAGACTGCACGAGAAACCTTCTTCTCTCTGTTTGCTGCGCTCTCCCAAGCCTCGACTACTCTGTCCGACTTGAAGAAGTGCAACAGCTGATTTTTCATGGTCTCCCGCCTGGCCAAGCGCCCAGACTCCGAAGGACGGTTTTGCTGAAGCGAGACTGTTGTATTCGTCGTGTCCTGGTCATTCTCTTTATTATTGTGCTTCAGGCTTTTATGTTGTTCCAGAAAAGTGCTTCGAGATTTGAGTGATCTAGAAGGAGCCGTGGCCGGTCGCTTGGTCGGCGTGCCTTCGATTTCTCCACTTGGGTTCTGCTTTGTCGCGAGTCCAGCCCTGGAAAATCTTTTACTGAGGCTTCTCTGTATTCTAGGGAAAAAGGTGGTAGAGCTCTGACTTTCAGTGGCACCGTGAACAGATTTGGCGCGGCCTCGGCTCTCGGATCCCGATGTAAACTCCTCGGAATTTTGGGCAGCTCGGAGGTTCGGAACGCTCTTCTGTGACATTCGGTGGCCTTGCGTCTGCCTGGATATGGGGCGCGGGTCGACTGCTCCCAAAATATCCGGGTCAGAAGGTAGTGGCTTCTCTGAAATAGAGGAGCGGGATGCGCGGATGGATAAAGCTCTTCCGAAGAAACGCTTCTTGGATGATCTGTGGTGGAAAACTCCGTTGGGATTCTGAAGCAGCGACATCTAGCACTAAAATCAACCATTCTGTCCCTACTGAGACGTTTGAGGAAATTGCATTGCTGGGTACTGACCACGTCTCTCCTGCTTGCAACCCCTACGCGGCGCTGCATCTCGGTGATGGCCAAACCGAGCTGTGCAAGAGCTGATTCAAGGGCCATCCCCTTTCGGCTAAGTTTAGACAGCGCCATGTTCCAGCCTTCTGTATTCGCCAGCATGGCGTTATGGACAGCGACCAAGTCACTGGGGAGGGGCCTATTTTCTTTCGCTGATTGTCCGATATAATGCCACAAAGCACCGATTGCTTCTCTTCCTTTCTGTATGTCTTTGAGGGAGTCTTTCACTGCCATTGTAAATCGATCAATTGCATGTTCGATCTTCTCATTGTATTCAATCATAGCGAGGCGAAAGTTGCGATCCTGCAACATTTCATCGAAAACATCCAAATTCTGGAGAGGCAGGCTGAGATACTGAATCCTTGTGCGGACGTCAACCTGGATGATGAAGTAGTCCTCGGTATTTCTCTCAATGAATCCGTCAAGCTCATCCACATGACGCTGGAGGATCTTCAAGACTTCTAGGTTGGATTTCGCCAATCCTTTGGCCAGCAAATGCACTCCAAATGAAATCTGAGAGATCAACTTCCAGAGAGGATGATACCTGTAACCAATTAGCTTGTTGGTCAATGGTAGGGACAGCGCCTTTGATCTGGTCATTTGGAACTTCACTTGCCTTTCGCCAGCTCGTTGGCGCCATTTTCTCCCACAAAGCCGTTCATACTCGGCATTTTCGAGCAACTCTTTTCTCCGAGATTGAGCGTCAAGAATGACAATCCATTGGTTTTCTTTTTTCTGGCTCGCCTCAAATATTGATTCTTCGAAAGGGCCTTGCAACTGAGGAATAGGGTGAACAGGCGATCTACTACTACATGGCTTCTTGTCGCTTGGTGCAGGTACGTTGCCCTGTTCGGCACCAGGGGTAGTTGCCTGTAGCTCTCGGTTTTCGGGCGCGGACGCCATCAATATTGAAGCGGAGGCTCTCACAAGCCACCTAAATTGGGATTAACAATGCGGGTGGATTCTGAGAGCCTTAAATTTTCTCTTTTCGTAGTCTTTGGTGATGGAGATACCATGTAAATCGTGCTCTCCCACTCAAATGCGCTAAAGAGTGCTGGCAGCGCAATGGGTTGCTTTTAGAGCGAGTGGTTCGGATCCATCAGGTATGGACGTGATGCACACTGATTTCCTCACCGAAATGCGCGATGGGTACAGAGATCACGCAAGAGAAGTCGAGGAGAGTGTGTTTTCAACTTGAAGCCATAGAAGAGGACAAGCAGAGCAAATGAAAATGCTCTGTGAAAAGGTCAATTGAATGAACTCACTGAAGTGAGTGAGTGACTATGGGCTTCGGATAGAATAAGTAGACTACCTCAGCGACAACAAATCAATCGTGTTATCAGCCAGGCTGACATACGTAATTTGAGGGCTGGTGGGACAAGGACAAATTAGAAGGATTAGGGATAATGACACAGGAGTGCTCGTGCGTAATAAGCTACTAGTGATCATGACAATGATAATAATATTAATAGTAATAATAGTTGATAACAACGCTCAATAAGACTCAAGAGTCCAGAATTTCATAGAGCGAAAGATACCTTGGGTCTGAGTTTCAACAACGTATTGATCTAAGTATCTATCTAGGCACTGCTGAGCTAGGGTCAAAGACCTGGCCCAGATTGCGGTAGAACTCAAAAGTAAAAAGTTTCAGATCCAGGGCTTTGAAGGGAGGAAATCAAACTCCATTATTCCATAGATAGATAGTAGTTGATGCTTGAAAGTCAGGGGCTAGCCATTCATATTTGACAATCTCAAGGGTTAATAACAATTAGTCTTGGGATACAGAATTAGCAAAGAGGACGGAGTACTCCAAGTCTCCATAGTACAATGATATAAATATAGATATCTACTTAAAATTCTCATTTTATATTAGACTGATTTAAAGTGGACTCGACTGGACAGAACTTCAGAACGACGCAGGAGAAAGATTGCTTGAGCTCGGGCTCAACATCCTCCAAAGAAATATCTAGATATATTGGATTTTCAAGCAGAATTGTGAGGCTCGCGGAGTGATACCAAGCGTCAAGGAATTAGTTTTTAGGCGGCGATAGATATCTTGACTTTGCAAAAGCATCTGTTTACGTCTGGAAATAATGTGTTTGGACTTAATAGACACTCTGCTTTCGCAGCCCTCCAGGAACATCAAGATGCCAGAGGCCGGCGCCCTCCAAAAATGCACTTGGATCTTGAGAAGCCCTAGCATCTCCCGTATGTGCTTGAGCCTTTGCATTGCCCTTCTGTAGGGGACTTTAGATAGTAGTAGTCGAGAAGTCATCGATATTTGGGGGTCAGGTCACCGCCAGTAATGACGATCGACAGCCCGCACTTCCGACAAGGCTCGTCTCCCAATGAGAGAGTACGAAAATGTCATTCGATCTCGATCAATGGTTCTCGTTCTGAAGAGCGGCACAAGTGTACAGAGAATACTGACTTTATCATACACAAATCCTGACACGCTCCCAAATTTCATGGTCACGTGCTAGTTTGGTCCTCCTCGGCGAGAAAGACCGGGTCCCAAAAGTTCGTTGGTAAGGACAGGTCAAGGAAGTCACCAAAAAGCACGTCAATATCTTCAAGAGCATCCTGCCGGCTTTCCTCGGCTCTCTGCGACTCTCTGGATGAATCCGTAGGTCCCTCTTGTGGCGCAACGGCTGCGGGAACATAACCAGAAACGCGAGGGCTATAATTGTCAGCCGCTAGCTGCGTGGTGGAAGCAGGGGTGAGTGCATTTGACGCAGACGGGATGCTTTCAGAGTCCATCGGCTGCCGAACGCCCTGTCCCTGGGATCGGTGCCATCTAGACTTCGCCCCATCAAGCTCACGCAAGGCCCTGCGTCCCAGACGCGCCATTGCCTCTGCAGAGTACCAGTAGATGCCCATACCCTCCAACAACGAACAGCACGCCTCTAAGCTGGCCTTTGCTCGGTTAAAGTGGGTAATCAGCCTACTTGATCGAAATTGCTGATAGGAGACGCTCATGGAAAGGGATAGTGCGTATGGAATGATGGGCAGAGGAGGCAAATCCTGGGCACATTCAGTTGCTATGATGGAGTGTATCCGGACCGCAGCGAGGCCTTGTCGGATACTGGAATTGGAGTTTTGGGGACGATCGTGCATTCGGGACCTGCACGAAAGAATGGCGACGGCATGATAATACACTTCAAGGAAGCCTTCGAGACGGTCAGCAGCAGACAATGGGAAGAGAAAATCCACCCCGAAGATCATGTAGCGTACCCAACATAGTAAAATCCAATTCCTCCCCGAAGTTGTCCCCCATGATCTCCTCAAAAGATGGAAAGTTGGTTTCCCAGCCGACGGTAGGATCCGCAGATGGCCTATAGAATGAGATCACGGTCGAGAGCAAATCCGAGATGGCAAACCACACGTCGAATGTAGACTTGGGATCAGAGGTCTTGACATTTGGTTTTCTCAGACCTATGTCCCGGTCGGCAAGGAGAACTGAACGGCCGCCTATGCTCGCGTGCATCTTATCCAGGGTCCAGAGACACCAGAAAAGTCGTGATAGAGAATCCCCCTGTACTCGATCAGGTCTATCGAGGTGCAGACCCGCAGTCTGAGCCTGGTGGATAGCCCGACAAAGATGCATAGATGCAGCCTCGGCGCCATCATAGCCTTCACAATGCAAAGACATCAGCGCTAATGTACGTATGCGGGCGATTCTGTCCGACTCGAGCCCGGCGTCCATCGCGACAACAAGTCCATTGTAAATCTCGGAACAAAACTGTCGAGACGTACTGCGAGGGCCATTAATGCTTGTACGAAGAAACGAGCTGGCAGCTTGGTCCTTGGCAGCCACAAGGCAAATTGCCCGCTCCAGAAACACGGACACACTTCCATCGGAGTGAGCACGAAGAAAGGATTCTTTATCAACAAGCGGAAGGATAGGATGAATTCTAGAGAAATAGATGGAAATCAATTGGTCCCGAGTCGAGGAAGGCAGACGATGACAAGCATTCAAAGCCGATGCATACCGCTCTTGTAATAAAGAGGCCACGGACTGAGAATGTCGACTCTGCGTAAACGACGAATTAACCGGAGCAGTGTTTACATCAAACGCTGTATCATCTCTATGGCCATCACTGCTTTGTGAGCTAATCCAGAGGCCAATCCGATCTCGAAAACGGCTGCCAGATGCGCCGTCCAATTTCTCGCGAATCACAGCTTCTGGGTTGAGATCTCCTACAAATCGTTCTAGTCTGGAGTTATCAGGCGATACAGATGTCGAAAAGGTAGGCTTCGCTGGCCCAGCGCCGCCCAGAGAGGATGGGCTGCCTGGGTGCTGATTGCTGTCGGAACGAAGAGCAGTACGCTCAAGATGATCTCCGAAAAGAGCTTGCGCCCGACCTGAGACAGACCCTGAGCTGATGATATGGCGGCAGCGTTTCTTGTTGCAACACGGTTTAGCTCTTCAGACCGTCATTGTAGATTAGAGTGCTGGTCGAGTATAGATGGTGATGACAATATAGATCGGGAAGAGGGGCTAAAGCACACAACAGACAGGAATGAAGGGCGGGAGGAGAAAAGTTGGTTGAAGAGAAGAATGATACCTTTCTTCGCTGGCAATCAGCGCATGCTCGAATGGCTCGTGTGCGACGTCGCGATTGGGGAGTATCAGCAACCCATTTGAGCTCCATCCTCACATGATAGTGTATAGCTGAAAATACAGTTGCAGCAGAATTCCTGATCCCAGGTAGACGGTTGGATGGTTCCTTTTCGGGCTGTGTCAGTGTTCTTCATAGATACTTAATGTTTCGTGCAGGGCTATACTCCAATTATTATAATAACGATCAATATTGACGCTAATCCATAGCAGCATGAAGTGCTTAGCTAGCACTTAGCGGTGCTGCCGAAAGAATACCTTAGATGGATCTATCTTGAAATGACCAACCACGGATATGGATGATTTGTGATGTTTGGAAACGGGTGGTACCAGTCTTGAGCGCCCCAGGGATTATCAATAATAGAGAGCTATAGCGCCGGAGATTGCAGGCTTTGAAATCTCATCTAAATTCCGATCTTGAACTTGACACATACTTGAAAGGGTTCGATTAATGCCAAGCCCACGTTACTATTATTATACGCGTGAGCAACGCGATCACTGTTACAGACTTAGAGCGACGCGTTTACCCGGGGAAGCTAAGTGCTGATGCGGAGTACGAGAGTCTACAGCTCAATTTGGTGAGATAATTCTATATGTGGATTCATCACATTCTCAAATTAGGTGAGTTTTCTTGCTTAAATCACCGAGTAAATCCATTTCATATCTTTACAATTGGTCATTATTACTTCTACTACGCCCTTCGTCCTTCTCAAGTCGCGGATTTCGACATTCAAGCTCTATTCACATACGAAGCAAAGAACCTTAAAGCGCGTCATGGCCAGCCCGACAGGGCTCAAACGTAATGCTAACCATTTATCAACACCAGCGTGTGATGCGAAGAAGCCCAAGGCCAATGGCAGTATCACGTCCTTCTTTGGTGCCCCTAAGCCGAGGCCTGTCGACGCCAAAACCTTGACCATTTCGTCCCCTTCCTCGAACTTCAACAAAAACAAATGGGTGGCATCGTTGACGTCTGAGCAGCAAGAACTCCTGCGGCTGGAGATTGACACACTGCACGAAAGCTGGCTGTCTAAGCTCAAGGAGGAGCTGGTCACACCAGAGTTCTTGGGGTTAAAGCGGTTCCTAAAAAAGGAGAGGGAGTCGGGTGCAAAGATCTTTCCTTCAGAGAATGAGATTTACTCTTGGTGCGACTCCTTCCTAGCCATTTCATCGACGAGGCACAGAACTAGGTTGCTAATAAGATCAACCCCAGGTCTCGACATACACCCTTGGACCAAGTGAAAGTGGTCATCATCGGTCAAGATCCCTATCACAACCATAATCAGGCTCATGGTCTAGCATTCTCGGTTCGGCCTCCCACTCCTGCTCCTCCCTCTCTGGTAAATATCTATACCGGAATCAAGAATGACTACCCTACTTTTCAGCCACCGCCAAACAAGGGTGGCCTGTTGATACCGTGGGCTGAGCGAGGAGTACTCATGCTCAACACCTGCTTAACAGTCCGCGCTCATCAGGCGGCAAGCCATTCAAACAAAGGATGGGAACGCTTCACTCAAAAGGCCATCGACCTCGTCGCTCGAGTACGAACTAATGGTGTGGTTTTTCTGGCCTGGGGCTCGCCGGCAGGGAAACGCGTAGCAGGTATCAACCGGCAAAAGCATTGCGTTTTGCAGTCGGTCCACCCTAGTCCGCTCAGCGCTCACAGGGGTTTTGTAAGTCTTGCTTCACTCCCTCGCAATCATGGCAGACCCTTTCGAACCCTGTTGTACTGACGTGAGACTTTATGCGGAGTCTAGTTCAACAATGGCCATTTTAAAAAATGTAACGAGTGGCTCGCTGAACGTTATGGTCCGGATGGCATCATTGACTGGAGTCTGACCCCGAAAACAAAGGCAGGCGGTCCGCTTGCCGCTATCTCAAGCCCAGCTCCTGTGATCGATCAGGTGAAGACGTCCCCAGCGAAACTGCCTGATTCGAAGCCTTTTGAAGAGAGCAAAGTTATTAGCGTGGAACTTATGGACCCTGACGGATCTGTTGATGAATTTGACGATGATCTCGATGCTCTTGAGGCTCTAGCGGCAACCGAAGCTGCAACATGAGCTGTTGAATACCTGATTCAATTGGTGTATGGTGTATCTCCAGTAGCTACTACTCACGAAGGGGCCATCTTTGTGTTTTTAGGATGTGCAGCTGTATCAGCAGTTCTGTACCAGTGAAAATCTATGTGTCCTATGTTTGTGTTTTCAACCCCTTGCCCCTTTCTTCCCTTCACTCGGCAGAGATACTACTGCCCCAGGTCTTCAGGTTGACTAAGAAAGTGCCCTATTTCTGCCGAGTGTCAAATGAAGGTGTTGTAGCATGCTGCACTACAAATGTAGGTACCTCAGTTGATTGAGTCAAGCGAGCGCAGCGAAAGTGTTGCTAACAAAAGACTTCCGGCCTCGTCGCGGCTCCTACCATAATCGTCTTGTTAAGCCACATATAATTAAATAGAACGCTCTATTCGGGGTAGGATACAATCATGATGTTTGAAATTCGGATACTTAAATGAAGTCCTTCAGCTAAAGTAGTAGTCTACAGTTCATCATGATCGCCCTTCTCGTCGCCAGTAGCAGCAGGAGCTTCAGTCTCGGTGGATGTAGCCGAAGGGGAAGCGCTAACATCATCACCTTCTTCGACTTTCTCTGAGCGAGCCTCAAGAGCGTCGACGTTGTACTTGCCGTTCTCCTTGATGAAGTTTGCAAGATCCTCGACGGTACGAGAGCCAGAATACTCGACAGGAGAATCCTTAGCACCGGCGGGATATAGTTTGATGGTAGGGAATCCGGTGATGGAATCGGGCACGTCGTTGGCGGTAGCATCGATCTTGGCAATGGTGACCTTATCTTTAAGATCACCAGCATAGAGAGCCGCTAACTCATCGTACTTGGGGGCCAAACTATGAAGGAATCGTTAGCTCACCTTTCATCCCAACCTTTTGGTAGGAGGACGGGCAACACTCACGCTTTACAGTGTCCACACCACGGGGCGTAGAATTCGAGGAGAACATCCTTCTCGTTATTGATGACAAGATCCTGGTAGGAGTGAGCCACCACGACTGTGACGGGTCCTTCTTGGGTTTCAGGAATAGGCTCAGACTTGATGCTGGGCTCAACCTTGCCATCAAGAACATCTTGGATGAACTGGGCGATGTCTTTGGCATTGATTTCCTTGGACTGGTCGTAGGGGTACTTGGCGTTCTTCTCAGGATCCTGGATAGCGAAAGCGGGGAATGTCTGGGGGTCAAGGTTAAGGTTTCCGGCGTGGGCACCAAACATCTTGGCATCAATAGTGGCGATGTTGATGGCTCCCTTGTGCTTCTCAGCAATGGGCTTGAATGCCTCGGTGTACTGATCACGCTCTTCCTTGGTCTCGGCGAAGATGTACGCGAGTGGGATACCGGCCTAGAACACAGTCCAGGGTTAGCTGGTATGGTCAAAGCAGATTGATTGTTCTCGATCATTGGAGACAAGAACATACCGTAATATAGCCAGAGTAGGTCTCGGGGCCAATCTCGCCCACGAGGGGAGTGCTGGCAGTTTTCACCCAGCTGAGGATCGCTTCCTGGTCAATCTTTCCGTCGTAGATAGCCTTTTTCTCATCAAAGTCTTTGTAAAGTACAATTGAGGGTTGCTTGACACCCTCCGCCTTGGCAATAGCTGAGTCGCCGGTCGCGGCAAAGAGGTAATTGTCTCTCTGAGATTCAGCAAAAGAGGTGAACACATCATTAGCAGCCTTATCGTCGGAGGCAAAGTAACCGATGACAACAATCTTATCCATGGTCTTGATCTCCTCGAGGTTCTCTTCAGTGACAGTCGAGACGGCGGGGAGGGACTGTTTGATCATGTAGGAGACAATCCTTTTCGAGCAAGGTGAGTTAACAATGTATCCAGTAAATAGGAACCGGGAGGCGAGGACATATCGAGGGGGAAAGCAGAGCGCAAATGATCAGGGACGAGGGTTGATAGAGGCGCACGCTGGGAATGGTAAAACTTACGAGTCAGCCTGGCGAGCTCCCTGGTAAGGCTTACTGGAATCAGGGCCGCGGAAGATCTTGAGAGTAGGATAGCCTTCGACGCCATTCTCTCTGCACAAGTCCTCTTCCTCAGTGCAATCAACCTTGACCAAGGGAATATCTTTTCCCTTGAGCTCAGTGGCAGCCTCTTCATACTTGGGAGCTAGAGCCTTGCAGTGGCCGCACCAGGGCGCATAGAACTCGGCCAGCACCAAGTCATGCTCCTTCATAAAATCCTTGAACGAGTCTTTGGTGAGAGAGACGACATCGGAAGTGGTATCAGCTGTCGCGTCAGCAGCAGAGGCTACCGCGCTAGCCCCGAGAAGGCTTAAAACCCAGGGAGCAAAAGACCGCATGATATAGAAAGGTCTCAGGAAGAAACAAAAAAGAAGGTTAATGGGATATATCAAGGACCGAGTATGAAGATCCTCTTGGAAGTAGCTGTAGACTCAATTCAGTCCTGCTCGACTGATGAGTTGAGAGTTGGACAAGAATGAATCTCAGTCCGGGTTGCTACCCTACAGCACAAAGGCAAAGATGAGGATGATGGGAAGGGCACAGCGGAGGGAGAACAGACGATTCAAGAGGTGAGCGGCCCCATTAAGTACAGGTATGGAGAAGAGTTGAGGACAGTTTGTTCTTTCTGCAGTCAGCTGGCTGTTCGAGCTCTGTGACTGGCTCCGCTAAGCCCGCCTAAACAGTGAATGCTGCAAGGGACTCGTAAAATCATAGGTAAATACTCCGTAAATAAGGTAGTTAATGAATCATAATAATAATACCCGCATCGGAACTCATAAGGCCATAATTCACAAAGTAGGCAAGTTTTCGACGGAGAATGTCCCGTACCCAAGTCCTATCTAAGAGTCTTCGATTACTCCGTCCTCTGTATAACTTTCATCATCCAGGCAAATAAGGTAACAGCCTAGCATGTACCTAGGTACCTTTGTCTTTCCATTTCCCTGCATGGATTTCTTTGTACGGAGTAACTGGGGTATCCATAGGGCCTTAGCACAGGCACACCTGATAAATTAATGAAGTACGCTGTAATTTATTATACCTTTAGGGTAAGGTGCCATACCATCGAGTATAAGGTGGTATCATTCCGTCCCAGGCGTGTAATTCTCTCCTGCTCATGTTTGTGAGGTACCTAGGTACCTTACTTTACTTTACCTACCTACCTCATAAAATAAATTAATGGTACTACTTAGTGTCATTTATCCATCTGCTCTTAAAATATTGCTTCTGACTCCTATAGTTACTCCAGTTCATGTTCAGGGTATTAATAGGTAAGGTAGGTAGTACAGAGTACCTAAGGTATGGCTGGATAGTACCACAGAGTAGTATCTTACTACCTTGAGTATAAAGGTAGGTAGGTGCCTATGTTACTCTGTAGGAATGAACTACGAAGTAAATCACTCATCTTTCTTCTTTTGACACTCTGTATGCTGGTTGAATACGGAGTGCTACTCCGTGGGCATGATTCATCCCTACCTTCTTACTGCAGGATTCCAACAACTACCTGAATTATTAGGATAATATTCAAAAAGGAGTCAAAACCTCGGGAACGGGTCCTTGACTCCCAAGGTGGTGACCAAAAAGCGAGGATTAGATTTATTCAACACACCACAAGTTGTGCACAGTCGGAAACTGGTGTAAGGAATGTGATACCTACAGATTCCAGACTGAATTGCCAGATAAGTCAATATTCAGAGAAGCGCCCAGCTGCCAGGGAGTAGAAAGATGTTGCTTGTAATGAGGCAGAATAATCATGTCTCACTGCATGGTACTGCTATACAAAATTGATGAGACCATGTCGATCCGGTCGATCATCGACACTATTGAGGTGTTTCCTCATAATTCTTCTTAATGCGATTCCGAAGCTGGTAAATTGATACCTGATAAATCATAAAATGGAGGCTAAGAACGCCTGTGCCTCACTGCCTCCTGATGTATTAGGGCTATGGGTAATGTCTGATTCTTCACTAAAAGGCAGTGAATGGGAATTTGTGTGAGCTGAATGAATAGGTGTCTTTGCCTGGACGCTCCTCAGTACATCAGTCATTTTCAGATAGTGCACTTGATACAATGAATGAATTAATTTTGGTCGTCCCGGGGCCGGACCTCTTTAAGTGTATGGTTCATCGTAGTTTGTACATAGCTTGGAGTTCTTATGAGAAGCTCAGCAGTGGGGAGAATGTGTCCCTATACCTTAGTAATATACTACTATCGGGAACGACCTATTGGCAAGCTGACAGACACACCGTTAGCCGACATATATGTAGATAGGTGACATGTTTCAATCCGTCCATTTGCTTGTGTCGCAGAGTAAGGTAGCACAAGGGTACGTACGAAAACGCTGAACAGTGGATACATCTCCTTTTCATTAGTATGAGGTGAATGCTTGTAATACTATGTACTCCACTGTGTCATTTGCACTTCAAGTTAGTGCGAAAGCGGCCCTATCTGAGAGAAAGAGACCGAGTAACAGTAACTATAGCTCACTTGGCGGCGCATGGTCCTCGTGTCCGGGAAGCGTTCCGTAGGTTTGAGCGCCTGATGGCTGCAATTCTGCAGCAAGCGCAAGCGCATCTCTCTTCCCTCGTTCAACATCCACAAGTAGCATTAGCGGCAATGGGAGAAATATCAACACGGCAAGAAACACAAATGCAGGTCGAATTTCGCCGTAGCGATCGGTGATGATGCCGACAATTGCAGGCCCAAAAATGCTCGACCCTTTGTCAGTAATTGCATAAAGAGCATAGAATGCTGCTTCGTTGCCAGGAGGAATCAACTCTCCGAAGAAACTGCGGCAGTAAGAGGATAGCCCGCCCATGACAAGCCCATACACAATTCCCAGCGGGAACATCTCCCACGGCTGCTGGAGGCCCAAAAACCCGAGGCTCTTAATTGCTGGAATAAACCCCAAAAGGCCATAGAGAGGCACTAGTTCGAACAAGAGAATGCATGCAATGATTGTTTGTGACGCGCTCAGATTGAATGCTCGCGAAACAGTACTCCAAGAAAACGCCCCCAAGACACCGGCCATCATTGCAATTACATTGATAAGTCCCAACGCTGCGGGCTGCATATTGAGTTGTGTCTTTGCGAAAAGTACCGCGGTCCCGCTAACGGTGGCAATTCCATCACTAAGAAGAAACCAAGCGGCGAGAAACAGCAAGATGTCTTTGAGATGACGTGTCCGCACTGCTGTCCGATAAAGCGACTTCCAAGCATAAGCCATGTAACCAATCCACGAGCGGGTGTGCTTCCCTCGATAAACGGTAGGCAATGGTGGGCCTGGGCGAGGTCGCAGCCAGAGCGCGGCAGGTATTGTGAAAAGAAACCACCAGAGCCCGATTAGAAAAAGTACGAGGCGCAGGGAGAAGGTAGTTTGGTTGGTAGCTATGACGACGAGGATGCAGACGATTTGTAGGATAACGGCACCGATGTAGCCAATTCCAATGCCAAGAGAAGATATCCGAGTTGATAGTGTCAGCTCTTGGGAAACTGTAATGGTGGTTGCAGGATGCATGTCCGTCGCGTTTTCGCTGTCTCTTCGATGGGCATGAAGTAGGGGCGAGGTGGCGTCAGAGTCGATGCCATGATCAATATTGTTTGTGAAATCAGAATGACCTTCTTGAGCGCGAGAATCATCCAGAGCAGACGGCGATTCGCAAACACATCCAAGCACAGAAGGATGGTGGCGTACTAACAAGGGTAGGAATGAATTCAAAAGCACAAAGGAGGCTCCAAAGCAGGTGTTTGCAATTATCGCAATCAGTCCCCCCACAATATAGAGCTTAGGCACCACACCGAGAAAGAGCATTGTTGAGACCGAGCCAATCACAGCGAAAGCCACTAGGAGCAGCTTTCGATGACTTCCATGGTCTGCAGCGCCTGACATGGATATGATCAAGATAGCTTGGACGAAGACACTCACCGAGAAGGTATACATTGCGAAACTCGCGGTATTTATCTCGACACCGAATATGTAGATGACACACGGGCTTACCCCAGATGGCCCGCTGGTATCATATCTTGAAGAAAGTGTCCACTGGGCTTGTGTGGACGTCTTCGATGGACCATTCAAGGTAGCACTGCAGGGAGTCACCATATCGGATAAAAGAACACCGCGGTCGCGAGCCATTTGCTCTAAGGTGATGGGGAGGAAGGAGCCTATGGTAAGTGTCAACTTTAGGAGCAAATGAAGACGAACGAAGGTCTGTTGCCAGACTTTTGCATACCCATAGCGCAGACTGTAAAAACCTCTGCTGCCCAGCCATAGCTATACCACCCAGCGAGTTCCTTTTTGCTGGTAGGCCGAGTATCATCCCCAGGGTATTGCGGCCGCGTGATGCTCGTTTCGCTTTCATCGCCGGCCCGCATATTGACACCAGCTTGAGACACGCACTAGCATTATACGAAGGGTCTGGTTGTTCGAAGCAGTTGCTCCCTCAACAGCTTGAGCTGTAATTTCTACCTTTCTATCATGATGCTTTAAGTCTTAGGCAGATAAGAGAAGGAATAGCCAGCCTACCACAGTATAAAGCAATGATTTCTGAAAGACCGCCAACTTAGGTGCACCTAGAAAAGGTGTCAGCAAGCGATAAGGATGGGCTCTTCAAAGCGTTGCTTGACCATACTAGTAGACCATGCAGGTTTGGTAAGATACGCCGGGTAAGATCAGACTGGATGTTGGATGAAGTCGATCGAATGAGGAGCCTTTGGCGAAGAATTATTTGGAGGTTTGCAGGAACGACATAAGTTGGGTTCCCTAATTAGTGAACGAACACAGTGCTGGGGCAAAGTAATCAGTCTGAGGCAAAACAAGTAAAGACTCCTTCTTTTCTTTGTCCGTCCAGTGTATCTCACTCGTTAACCAAGGGACGTCTGGCCATCGTCATCAACGGACTTGAGGCTCTTGAGCTCCTTATCTGAGTGGCTCCATAGCAGCTTACCTTATCCATAGCTACCCTAAGTAGGTAGTCTTGACCTAAATAGGTTAGCAGAAATACGGAGAGAGAATGATAGGTACGGAGTACCTTAGCCCGGTACCTTCTAGGTAAGGTACCCACCTTGGTAAGGTAACTGGACAGTAACGTAAGAACAGGTCATATTACCAAGAACTAAAAGTCTAAAACTACCTTATTAAGTAATCACTCAGGCATACCGTACATATCAGGCACCAAGGCAGCATCACATCATGAATCTGCAGTCCATCATGTCTTTGTCCGAGTGCACGAGTACTGCACCTTTTTGACAATACATCGCCCCATCAACTTCTCAATATTCCTTTCCATTGCTCGTATATGCCCAGTATATCTGCAAGCGTCATTTGTGGTGTGGTCACCTCTTTAATCTTCCATGGGGCATAGACGCAATCTCCTTGTTGCTGCAGCAAAGAGCCTCTTTGATGAATTCCACCCTTTCGTTCGCGAGGACCCCCAAATCCTGTCTCTGAGACAGTGAATTACAATTCGACTGAAAAGACTCAGTGTATGGCTTATTTGCCATTCTATTGAATGCTGTTGCTTTGTGAATCTCTTGAGCAGGACCGACCAACGCGAGTTTTCGTGGATATTACCTTCGCAAACTCTCAATCGGCCACCTGAATCAATTCTTCAAAGGCCGATAAGACTACCTCCTAAGGATCCTTACTCCGATTTGTCCGCGCATCATTCCTTGCTTCACCGGTCGTTTACTCTACTTTCAGTGCAGTTGCAGCGCTCTCGTCGAGCTAGCTTTGCGCATACCAGTTGATCACGGATGGCAGCAAGCTGAAGCATTTGTTCCAGCGGGTTTTGTACTGTCAGCTTCCCTTCCTGGCCCTAGCGCCGGCGTGTCTGGGCTCAGAGCAGCACCCGACTTAGGTCGCTCACCTTGTGCCGTGCAGAGGGTGAAGGGGGGGGAGGGCTGATTCCAGAGGCCGGAGGTGCCGTATCTACAGAAATGCCGGGCGTCATCATGGATAATGCTACTATTGGTGGGCCCAGGCATGCGCCAGACAATCATACCTCGAGCAATGGTGATAACTTGCGAAATGGGTCGTTGCATATCAACGGAGCGGCGAAAGGTGCCAAAGATTCCGACCATGACAAGGAAACATATACCGGCACACCTGGAATTGACGGACACAAAGTTCTGCCTGAGCTAGCTCACATCACGCAGGGATTCTTTCCGTTCTCGACGCTGGTCAACCGATCTGTGCAGCAATGCTGGAATGAGCTATCTGACCTTATTACAGAGCTGGCGGCAATACAAGTGTCCCCGCATAGCTCAATGCCTTTATTGCCTGTCAATGGAAAATCTCCTGGAAACCAGTCTCCCGAAAACCTCCAGAAAAAGCTCAGAATACTAGATTTTGCTCATGCTAAACGGGCCGAGTTCATTAAACTTCTCGTCCTTTCACAATGGAGTCGGCAAGCGCGCGATGTCAGTAAATTAATTGATCTACAAAATTTCATTCGCGCTCGCCATCAAGCTTTCGTGGATGCGTTGCAGCGAGTGGGAGACATGAAACGAGACCTGGTGCAGGCTCAGGTGGCCAATCCGGACCTCCAAACTGCCCTGGAGATCTTGTCCAAGGGCAGGCTGGAATCCTTAGCGGATGTAAGCCATGTTTTCACGCACGAAGCTCAACGATTACTGACTCAAAGTTATCTAGCTCGGTTACAAGTCCCCCAAACTTCTAACAGCGAGAGGCGCTCTGAAAAGATTACATAAAATAAACAGAATCATCAGCGCCAGACTTGCATTACATGATCCAATCCCTCGCCCATTTCGGACCTACCGAGTTCACGACGGCAGAGTGACTTTTGTCGTGCGCGGTGAATTTGAGCTCGACTTATCCGTCGGGGCAGAAAGCGAGCTCTCCCAGTTCTTCTTCGTTGATATCCGCTTTCTTTACTCCCCGTCCTCCAACATTCCGAAGGGTCGAATGTCTAATGAGCTTGATGCTAAAGTCAATGATAAGCTTCGTGATAGCGGCTTAACAGGCTGCTTCAGTTTCCTGCATGGCTTGGTATTGACCAACAAAATTCACATATTATTCAAGCAGGCCATCGAGTTGGCTAAAGGTCTTTGGTCAGACTCATTACGTGTCGAGCTATTGCATCGTACCCTGGTTATACAATATTGGGCTCTAAAACCAGGACCCAAGAGTTGGATCGAGATTGGGATCAAGAGTGGTTATGGGAATGCTGACAACCAAGGCTTTGGGATACCATGTCTGGGCTTGCGATGGATAAGGGACGGCCAAGAGGTTGACAGTAAAGACATTGAATTCGACGCAGAGGATCTATCAATGGAGTGTCTCCTGCGGAGTGTCATTGCTCTACATATCTCTTATTTGCTCTCGTCGGCTTACGGCATCCTAAGTGAATATTCGCTATTCTCCACCGGCGTTTTGTCTTCGCAGGCGCTTTTGAATGTGACCGAGCCTGGCGAATGTCAACTCTCCGTCCAGCTCACGGGCTCCAGACATCTTCGGGTATCCATTGAGCCGATGTCAGGAGCTATTATCTTGTCCGCTACCCCTTGTCTCTCAGAACGTTCCGAAAGTGATGCTGGTCTGGACAGGTCCACCATCGATGATCTAGTGACCCGTGTTTCTCGGCTTCGTTGCATTGCAGCTATAGAGGAACTAGAGTCAAATGTCAGGATTTTGGGATTTGAGACGGTCAGCCCAAAGGGACTCAAAAATGATATCCGGAAAGTTTTTCCAACTAATGTCTTACGATTCTCTCTTTTCTGGCACCCTTCCTGGGAGCGAAATTGGGTTGTGGCTGCAACAAGCAGCATCGCAGGCGACAACTGGTGGGTTGTGCAACTTCGCCGGCCTTCAAAAGTCGCAACAGATTTTTCGGGTCCTGATACAAGTATTTCACTTTGTTCAGGGCATAACATGAGCGATACCTTTCTTGCTACGAACCAACAAACCAGCTCCTCGTCATTCCCCGATCTGGCCTATTGTCTTTCTGGGATGGTAGCAGTTTATGCCAACGTCAGCTATCTAGCCGATTTGCAAGCAGTTGAGTTTCACCCACCATTGCGCGCATTGAAAGTTGAGTCCGACCTTCGAATTCCGGATATTTTCATTCGCTACCAAGTATCGACCCTTCCTCGGGCCTTTCAGCTAGTTTTGCCCGCAGGATTGAAGAGAAAGAGCTTTCTTAAGAATACGGTTCGCCTTGCCTTCCATGGGATTGACCGTCGCAAGAATATTGCCATATTTGTGGCGTATGGCAACTTGGTGGCACCCTTGAGAAATTTGTGCACATTAGTTCCAAAGTCGGACAGCTCCCTAGTTTTCAAGCGAGGAGGTAGTGGCTTTGCCCTTCGGCTTCTTGCTCCGGCCGGTCAACCTGTCATCGTACAGCTATTCAAAAGTCTACAGACTCTGGAGTGCGCGTTGTCAATTCTCGATTTTCTTCGGCAAAAGAGATTGACACCTCAGTCATTGTCGCTTACTCATATAGCCTTTGCTTACGGCCCAAGAAGGGATCTCTCAGCCATTATTGACATCGGGATGTCCGAGGTCCTCTCTTCTGCGGAGCTTGACCCTGTTCGCATTCTAGCAAGGACTGATCCCCTACTTTTTCTCAATCTGGGGATTCGATTTAATCATCCGAACCCTCATCGCCGGGTCCAAGGGTCTCTCGCTGCCGCTTTAAACCATGCTTCCAATGAAGCTGGTTTGGATTTCGTTACCGAGATTCTCTCTTTCACACTTCCCTTGATGCGAGCCTTGGAGCAAATAACATCTAATGCGTCTCGCCAGGAGACTTTCAGGTTACAGGTGATTGTGCGCAATGCGTACACATTCCTCCTCCATTATACTTATCAGGGCTTCCGTTTCCAACTTACAACGAGCCAGCATTTGGGGCGATTGACTTGGGTACTAAGAGAATTGGGCAGCTCAGAGGTCAGACCAGGCCACGACCAACTCAAAGCCAGGCTGCGAGGCACATTGTATCATTCCAAGGGAAACGGTTGGAAAGGCCTTGGAAATGGAGTGATTGCAGATGCTGAGGGAGTCGGCAATGTTCTTTGGGCCCTGGATGGATGTTTCACCGGCGCCCAGCATGATACTTGGTTACCGCGAGAAACTAAATCTGATCAGGATTACTCAAACCAGCCGGACTCGGAGCATCAGAATCAAACCGGGGCACCCTCGCAGGCTGGCATGGCTAAAGATACTACAATGACGGCGAACTTCATTAATGACAAAAGTCTTCAGCGACACCCTGTTGCTTCCAACGCTGCAGATGTTATTACAATTGACTGACGCCTCTGTATAAAGTGATCTCCACTTTTTCATCCCTTTTATACCGCGGGGGGCGCCAACTCCGCACGTGTAACAGGATTGTCTCCAAGCAATGTCTCCTTCAGATGTATTCTTGCTAATACATTACTTTGTGTGTACCCAATTCACACCATGCAGTTTTGACTGCAATATGATGATTGCACGCGAATAATGGTATTTTACTTCGGGCAGCGTATACTCCTTCTAAAAAATTACATATATATCGGTGCCGAGGGCTGAAACCAAATACTGTAAGCTAGCACCGACCTGGTCACATACGGTCAGCTCCAATGCTTCACTCAATACAGGTAGGTGACTTCATCACATGAAATAGCACTCCTAAACCAGAAGAATTGCAGTTGATGATTTGCTATAGTCGCTCCTCTTTCACACGCCCCCGATTCTTCAATACGTCATACTCGACCCATTTCATACAGGTCGATCCTTCTTCAGAGATGAATCTCCCTGGATTCATGACATGGCACCCTTCGTAGGTCATACAGAATGGTGCTACTTCAGGATCAGCCAAAATAAATGCTGTCGGCAATGGGTACAGTTGCAACGAGGCTGCATGATCCCACAAGACAGGTCGCATCGACAGCGGAAATGGGGACATTGTTCCCTGGTCTAATATTGTTTTCACTAGTTTTCGCGCCGTGTGCACACTGGAAGAGGATTGCCGAGTTTGTGCATCTGCCGGATGGGCTTGAGCATGAGTTTCATTTTCAGCTGTGGCAAGTCCAGCCTCGTCTTCCGGATCTTGTGGAATCGCCGAGTCACACTCATTCTCTCCTTGCTTGGTGGCCACTGCGTTCCGCCTCAGCCTTCCTGTAATGTCATCTCGAAAGATGGCAATATCATGCAAGGGCCCAAAGACGGTGAGACGTGATGGATTGGAGGTCCAGATAGCTTCGCCGGCAGGCTCGGAAGCTTGCGATCGCCCAGACTCGGAATTTGCCGATGCAAACGCACGCTTTATCCTCGACGTAAACATATCCGGAACTGGCTGACGTGGTACTGTCGAGGCAGCGCCCGCTGTGAAGGCAGACGACCATGGGTCGTTATCCCCAGGAACGAAGACGAAGGTAGAGTGTCGCAAAAGTTCAGGATAGTCGGCTAGTACAATGGAGAATGAATCAAAGAACTCCTTGTACTCGATGCTACCAGCATAGCCGCCTCCGTTGATTGTGGCCTTCTGGACAAAGTTCCCTATCATGACAAAGACTATGGGGCGTTCGGTCGGCGAAAGCTCACTATATGTACTGAAAACCTTCCTCAGCGCGTCAAGCGACTTGAGGTTGTCAAGATTAACCTCGCTCATGATAGCCATTTTCAGTCGTGTGGGCGAATCCGCGCCAACGTGCATACCTCGCAAGCATTTGGCTTGGATTCTCCTCATACGTGAACCTTGTGCGCGTTCACTCCCAATGCCTAAAATGTCAACCCATCCAAGCCCTCCGCTAGAGCTAATCTCTCCGTTGCTGTGCTGGTGATTCATTCCCAGTGAAACTTCTCGTCGTTCGCATGGAGGTCCGCAAATCGATACACCGAGAAATCGACCACCAATGGCGCCGCCAACTCCGCTGTTTCCGCCTAATACCGATCCTCTCACACTTCCCTCTTCTTCATAGAGTCCATCGACGAGGACTATCATTCCTGGAGCAAACCAAGCACCATCGTCTGGTATCGTTCGGGCATGACTCAGATCTAGCGCAACGCTACCTGTCAAATCGACCAAGGAGAGATCACCTGCGGGTGATATAGAGAGTAATCCTAGAAGCAGGTGTGACGTGCCACTTCTTCCAAGCAGGTTTGCAATCGGTGTCAACCTGTAACATTGAGTGGAAGCGAATGAGGATGACGACCTCTTCAGGGAGGGGCCTGAGGAATAACTCAGCGATGTTTGAAATGACTCATTCCGGAGCAGGCGTTGATGAACGATGTTATAACGGTCTCTGAATACGCTAGTCTTGTGCGAAGCCTGCGGGAACAATGTAGCCTTTGATTTTGTTACTTCAAAGTACTTCTTATCGACGTTGTAAGTCAAGCGTGGCATGTCGAATGCCTCAACAATCTTGATCCAATTTCTTGGGTGCAATGATAAGTCCAAGTCGTCATGTTCCTCATCGTTCAGTGTTGGATCTGGTGACAAGTGTGGCTTCAGTCGCCTGGCATCAGCATTGAGGCCAGTCACATCTATCGGTCCTTCTCTTGTTGCATTTGCTTTCGCAGGAACTACCCTTCCTCCACTCATGTTGCCCTCTAAGGCCAGCAAAATAGCTTTCAATGAGGCTCCTCTGCCTTCTTCAACAATAACGCCGCCCCCGGCCTTTTTCCAACTTTTGGCTACCTCATCCAAGACTCGCTCCGCAAGGCCTTCTTCGCGCCATCCAGAACCACAGTTTTTTCCCACAAAGGAAGCCAAAGTCTGCAATGCCGAGGATGAGATGGTCAAGTTGTGCTTCCTGGTGAAAGTACGGAAAGCTACAGGTCGAAGCGTAGAGGGTGGAAGTAAAATTGGCAAAACTGAGATCCTCGCGAGGGGAGGATTAAGATTTGATTTTCGAGAAGGATGTACCGGAGTACCGAACCCTGGAGATGAAGAGAAGATGGGTTCCGAGTCCAGACGACTATCCCCAACGAGCCGTGTGTGGTCCATTATTGATTCCGATGTGGTAGCAAATGTAAGCTTAGTCTCTTCAAATATGTCTCGGAAATGAGGACCAAATGAAAATAGCTTCAAGAAGGAGGATGAGCAAGCTCAATATAATAATTCATCCTCTGTGAATTTCAATGCTTTTTGTCATGATAGAAGAAGTGTATTCTGAAAAGGTAAACACGATGCTGGGGCAGAACGATTATAGATGATGATGATGATGATGTTGTTGAAACAATATAACTATGTATGGACCTGCTCTGTAGAGAGACGCGTGGTTGCGCGTGCTCCACATACGCATACGCGCCCGCGACAAATTCTAGGTTTGGACTACTCCGTAAGACCTTACTAATTTCTCTTTGCCGATATACTTCGTCGAAGCCGGTCAGCTCAGCTTTGCGACTCCAAATTTCCATTTTCATTTGGTTGTGCTTCCTTTTCTCATCATTTGAGAAGCGCCTGCTGATCTCCTAAATCACAATCCATTCCAGAGCCTATTACATCCCACGGTACTCTTGCCCTGACCATCATGGCAGAGCTTAACTCAGCAAAGACAGACCCAATAAAGCTGGAAAACACTGCAGATGCCAAGCGTGTACAGTTAGAAGACCTGATCGCGCGAGCTGCGGCGAAAGATGCAATCAAGGACTTCAATGCAGCTGCTGAGCTTTACTCCGAAGCTACGGAACTCCAAGCTGAGCTGAACGGTGAACTGTCACTCGGCAATGCTGATCTGCTGTTCGCCTACGGCAAAGCTTTATATAATGTGGCGGTGAGCAAGAGCGATGTCCTAGGGTCAAAAGTAGCTGGAGAGCCTCAAGCTCAATCAAATGATCTGCTTGCAAACAGCTCCAAATCTTCTGCACAGGTGCCTGGCGATAGTCTTATCCAAAATGCGATCGCTAGTGGGGTGGCCAAGCAAGAACATTCTAAAGATTTGAAATTCAGTCCTGGAAAGACTTTGAATCAGCCCTTTTTTCAATTCAGTGGCGATGAAAATTTCGATGATTCGGAATCCGAGGCAGCAGAGGGCGATGAAGGCCCCGATGGTGTTGACGATGACGATGACGATGACGACTTTGCCAACGCCTTTGAAGTCCTGGATTTGGCCCGTATACTCTACCACAAGAAGTTAGCCGCAGAAGAGGAATCAAGTGAGAAGGGAAAATCCGCCGAGCTGCTTTCCGATGTCAAACACGTTAAGGAACGCCTTGCAGATACGTACGACCTACAGGCAGAGATTTCACTTGAAGGGGAGAGATTCACAGATGCGGTGGCGGACCTCAAAACTGCACTTGATCTGAGGCAATCACTGTTTCCTATGGAAGATCCTTCCCTTGCTGAGTGTCACTACAAGCTTTCGCTCGCACTGGAATTCGCATCTGTCAACAATCGCAGCGAAGGCACTGCTGGAGGGGACAATGACCGCCATGGCATGATTGATGAAGCTATGAGAGAAGAGGCTGCGACTCAGATGGAGAAGGCTATTGAGAGCTGTCGAGTCAGAATGGCCCAGGAACAGAAGAAATTGGATGCATCAGACGCCTTGGACGAAGACAAAGCGACAGCTTTGAGAAGGAAAATAGCTAATGTCAAGGAGATCATTGAAGACATGGAGCAGAGAGTTAGTTCTCAAGGCATGCCCTATTTCTTTGTTGCTTGTTTACTCACGCATCACAGCTCCTAGATCTTCGTCGTCCACCTGTGTCGGTTGAGCAACAGAACGAGGAAAGCAATACGATGCTTAGAGGTATTCTAGGCCAGATTGTAGGTCAGTCAGCTGTTGAGCAGCAAGCGCGACTGGAAGCGATCACAAAAGATGCCAATGATCTATCTGCATTTGTCAAAAGAAAGCCAGCTAGCATTCAGTCTCCACCGCGAAGTGAACCTACGCAGAAACGCTCGGCTTCAGAACAAGCCGAGGACGAGTTCAACACGAAGAAGGCACGGACGGAAAGCGCTAACAATGTACGATGAATTGTCGCCCATCTTCGTTTTTACCGGCCTTCCCTCGGTGGGGCTATTCCCCTGCTACTCTCGATATGTTATAACTTGTTGCTCGGTTGCCTGTTTGTTGATTCTCGTATCACTATGGGGCTATTTTTCTATTATTTTGACTTCCGCTTGATACCCAACCTTCATGTCAGGCAGCGGCTTGATATGTGGCTAATCTGACATATGCGATGGTCCAACGCTTCTAGACAACTAATACTACCGTCGCTATTGTCACTATGATTCCAGAACGCCACTGGAAGGAAGCTGGCGGGAAATGAAAGGAATTAAAACTATGATTGTGAATCTCATGCCCAGTCCCCAATGACTTCTTGGTCTCAATATGCTCATCAAGGTGGGAACCCAAAAAACGGGAGACGGCGATCGAACTTTCGGCTTCTTCGGCGCACAGCCAAACTCGGACTCCATATCCCAGCAAATATGTCTTCACACTCGTCCTCGTCCTGGCTGTCAAATTCGATGTGCTCATCGCGGTTTATGTTTTCTGACGGCGCAGAGCTCAGGAAGCCAGGCGATACGGGTTGATCAGTATCGCATGGTGACTCCCATGATGACGACGTAGTTATTCGGTTTGTTTCCAAAATAAACTTGCCGACCTTATATCGCTGGGACTCTTCCTCGGCGGAGATATACTTCCAGCCGAGCACATTGCCGCAGAACGCGCAACTGATGTCTCTAACTGTATGAAGTCCGGTGACGAATTGACGTGGAACTGGTCTCTGTATCACAGTGTTGGGGAGCGATTCAGTCGGTGAAGACGACCCGCTCACAGAGACAGCACTGGCGGTAGGCTCCGCGGAAACGAGGTATGCGCGGCCATGACGACCAGTGAACCCTTTGCTGATGATTTGGGACTTGAGGCACAAGTCGGCTCCACATTTTGAACAGCAGAGGTATGACACATGCCCAGTAAGATATCTATTGTTTCCGTTCTCATGAGTATCTGGTTTCATTGATGAAGGCACGCGATTGGCATTGTGGCGCCTTGAATGGAACACTATTGACGGTAATAAGAATTTGGGAAACATGGGGGTAGGAGTTGGGGTGATTTTGTCGAGGGATATCTATATTACGTGGTGCGAGCTGAAGTGAATAATTGATTGAATGCTTCAAAAGGAACATACCCAAGTTTGACTTTGCGTCTAATCACACTGAGGTCATAGACTATCCCAGCAGCCAAACCACCAAAGTGCCAGTATGCAAGGGATGACCTTAACACATCAGAAAATGTTTCACATTCACAATTCTGGTTCTTAATAACATGCAGATATTAAGACAGCATTACTGCCTAATCGATACTGTTCAATTAGATATTCCAGGACCCTGGAGTATTAGCGAGGTAAACTCAAAGCAATCCACGCACCTATAACTACAGGCTGCCTAAGTTACGTAGTAGTAACAACCTAGGTAAGGATGTACCACAATTTTTGCGCTGTTTTTAGTATTGTAATTTAGGACTGCGCTTTCCCTGATAAGTAAATATGAAGGATTGCTTTGCCAAAGGACACAATAGGGAAAGGGTAAGTGAAAGAGTACTTGGGGGGGAAGAGGAGGAATAGAGGTCTTATTGGCTATGAGCCCTCCAATCATGATACAATCATATACAGAAGCAGGCAGTCCCTACTGAGTACGAAGGTAAGGTACCTAGGTAATCTTCTTAAAGAACCGATTACGTAAACGCAGTGCGTTCAAAACTGATTGATTCCTCGTTAGAAATGAGTGGCATCAGGGTCAGACGGTGAACTGAAGATACGACAGAAGTTCCGTAGAAATAAGATCATCAAATGACTTGAATGTTATCAGACCTCCGCACATAGGAAAAGCCATTTTGTGCTCAGGCAGTGTTCAACACACTGCTCAGAAATCCAAGGTTTCAATGTTGTCAGATTAAAACCACACCATCCCAGGTTTCTCACAATCTCGGAATCCGTTACATCCTGCGAACGGGGAATGCACGCAACAATCTGAGAACACTCAAACATAGGCATGCTGGCTAGCTCGAACAGGGCGATCAACCTGGAAAGAGAAAGGACAGAGGTAAGTCCCAAAGAAAGTCATAGAAATTTCCGCTGCAACTCTCATGGGATAACAAAAACTTACCCAGCTTTGAGGTTGTGGCCTAGCACACTGTTTTTGAAGAACAAGAACAATGTCCGCTCATCATTCATATCAGTCAAAAAACCTCGATAAATTGCGTCGCCAACGTAGTCCCAAACTTCGACCCAGTTTCGAATTGACCTTTTTTCACGTCCGGTCCAGTTCGGCCGGCTTTGGTACGCATCCATCCCAGGCGACTCTTGCTGCGCGAACTTCATCTCACCAATGAAAATCGCGGACAATTTGTCGCAGAAGAGCCTCTCACACTCTTCCGGAATGGTATACGTTGCCTCCCCTTTATATTCAGGCAATTGATTGCCCGGCCAGCTGCTCCCCATGGGCGAAGGAACGGGTAGCGAGCGGGGAGGACTTGAAGAGGGGGATTTTGACCCTGAGGGGACCTCAGGGATACCACTGTGCTCCTATACCGTGATGACAGATGTCAGCGCACATCATGATGACAGAATATTGAATTTTAAGCGTGGGCAAGTCTTACCGGCCCCCGTCGTGGTGCAGTAGTGGAAGCCGCTGACCATGGAAGTCAAAGCGTCAACACTGTAGCAGCTTGCGAGTACGCTGGGTTGGGGAGTGATGTCAAAGGACCATTGAAGCTGGTTGCAGTTATTACTTTGATTATTGATGGATTTAGCCATAGCGATAGCTTTTTTGTGGACTAAATCTTGACGATAGCGGTTTGTGCCAGAGCAGGAGACAGATTTGTTAAGGATTTATTGTGAGCAGATATTATCCAGGTAAAGTTGGAACAGCAATTATTGATATGATAATAAGTACTGGTGTTTGATTTGGAACAAATGGGATTGCTGGATAATGTCACTTTGCTGAAACTGTTGAGTGCTGCTAGATAACAGGGGTAGGTCCGAAGTCTTGATGAGCAGATGGATTCTGTAAGTCATATGAAGTTCCAAAAGGCCAAAGAACTCCGCCCAATCTTGGGCTATCATAGAGAGGTACATGAGTAGGATTAGTCACTGGGCCGCGAATTTATTACACCGTACTCGGTAGCCTGTATGCCCTAACCAGATTTGGCCAGGTCATTACTAGGTAAGGTAAGGTACTCCCGAGTACCGACTCGTCAGGTAATAATCTACTACCCAAAGTATTTCAATCCGATGGAAATGTTCAGAGCAAGGGAGGGACGAAAGTGACCGTACTATAGAGAACCAGAGCTTGCTAGAAAGTACCTTAAAAAATGTCACTATAATGATTCTGTAAAGCTAATGTCACAGTTCATCGCGGGGCAGCTACGGAGTACTAACTGGTCTTTGTATTCTGTGTCCTGCTGGATCCTCCTGATAGTTTCGTGCTCGCGCAATGGACATATCATGAAAACATTGGCCTGGTATTACCTATAACATACTTGCATATCACAACACTTGCTGGGTCTTTGCTGTTGATTTGAGTAATAAACAAATGTCTGAGAATCAAACGAAATTATTCCTTTGAGAACATTTCATGAAAGCCCCGTAAAAGGGAATCTCCATTCGCTCGAATTGGAGGAAAGATGACGAGGACGCGAGACTATCTACATTCTGAGGACTCTAAGAGAGAACTGACAGGAACACGAGATGTGGAAGTGATGATAGAACATAGCTGCGATGTACATGTACCTCACCACTCTCTTATAACTCACGATAATCGCTTGGTCTTATTCTTCGGTGTCTTCCTTGGTGTCGCTGAGGATTGACAGGTTGTCTGAAATATGGTGAGTCTTCTTCCCTCGCGAATGGTGAGCTAAATGAAGTCCGTTGTTGGTTTGAGAAGTGGCCAACGCCTGGTCCCTGCTGAAAACCCGCATTTTGGGGCATCGGCCCCGCCATCTGGTTCAAGCCCATCATCTGCATCGAGGCATTCCCCATGTTGGAGTATATGTTTGCTTGACCGTAGCCATTCATTGCACCATTCTGTTGACTGCCATATATGCCGTCTTGACGGGGATCGAATCCCAGAGTATTCATTGGATTCCATGCTTGGTTCATATTATTCGGGAAGCCATTTGCAGGTAGGCCCAAAGGATTCATAAACCCCATTCCTCCGCCAATGAACCCAGTCTCAGTGAACGGCATTGTAGGCATGCTTTGTGGATTCATAAAGCCAAAACCAAAAGGCATTGGTTGGTCGTGGGTGATGGATGAGACTTCATTCGAAGAATCTTGGGTTTGTGGATTTGTCGACCCGGTGGCCGCCTGAGCAATGGGATCGGCTTTTTGCTTTTTGTGCGACGGGCTCAAGTTCGATCTTTCGTGGTCGGTGCTCAGGGGGTTTTCGTCTGCTGGTCGTTTCTTCGAAGCCGAGTCCAAAGCGCCGTTGACTGACGACAATGATGATAGCTCCTTTTTTGCGGCGACATTCTTCTCTGAATCAGACCCTTTACTGTTGGATGGGCTATCATGTACTGCGAGATTTTTCTGCGTTTCTTTTCTCGAGTCCGCCTTTTCATCCTCATAGGCTTTTATTTTCGAAACAGCCTCATCATCCACGGAAAGATTGTCAAGCAAAACACCTTCTGTGGCGCAGCCAGGGCAAACAAAATCACTCTCAATCAATGCGTTGGTAATACAATCATTGCAGTAAGTTCGATGGCAGCATGGTGTCTTAGTGGGCTCTAGGAACATACGTTTATCAATAGGGCACTCCAAACCCCACGACTGCAATTCTTTGCTGTACTCTGCTGCCGCCGCTTCTGCTGCCGCTGCTGAAGAAGCTTTGGCCTTCTCCTGGTACAACTCCCAAGCTGCTTTGTCTGGCTTCGCAATGACGAAATCACCATCAGCATTAACCATGACACCTGTATTTCGAAGATCTTCATTCGACCCATCAAGCGCCAACGATTCCGGCTTCTCAACCTTCGTCTGGAGCGAGCGTGGTATACCAGTAGATCGCTTCACTCGGTATTTGCCATCGAATTTTGGATCATTGTTGGTCGGACACGCTTGGATCCAATGGCCTAGATAAACATGTTAGTTAAACCCTGACTACCAAATTCAACATTGATCGTATCACCTTTTTCCCGACAGCGGTAGCAAAGATATCCAGGAGGCGGCGGGTGATCAGGGACATTGACGGCCTTTCCCCTCCCACGACCGAAGGGTACAGGTGTAGCACTATAGACGTTCATTAGCGCCAAATCCGCATGTAATAGATATATGCCTACTTTGCCATCTCCTGTTGTTGCTCTTTCCATTGGCTAGCTTGCAAGTTGAAAAGAGCATTGATCTTCTCCTCCTCTGTCTGCGCATTATTGAGCTCTAAAACGCTGCTGCTCAGTGCATTGCTAGTATTTGATATTGCTCGGGTCGATATTGAAGCATCATTACGAGGCGTGCTGCGAGCGCTAACGGGCATTTTCCCGGATACATAACGAGCAGCGCCGCCTTTGCCAGGCCGTGAGGCAGGCAACCTCCGAGCGATGACAGAAGTGGAACGGGGAATAATTGTGGTATCATCATCATACTCTGCAAGCACAGTCAGCGATGACACTTATCTTTGTTTCTTTTTTTTTAAAAAAAAAAAAAAAAAAAAAAAAACCTCCTGGTTATTCCTCAAAACACCAATCCGAAGAGAAGTCACAGGGACAAAACCACAGAGCTTACCTTCGCCTGTATCCTCATTGTAGATAGACAATTCAAAGTCCGACCCATCGCCCAATCTACTCTGATTGATAATTTCACGTTTCAATTCAAAAACAGAAATACCGGTCCCGTCGAAAGTTACCCTTGAAGGCTCTTTTTGAGACTTGAACTTGAAGTGAACAGAGGATGACATTGTATTGAATTGCGCGTCCAGCAAGTGAGTTTGTGAATGTAATTAGATCAAAATAGAAGGGACGACACTTTTCTTCAAATTGAAGCATACAAGTGACAGGAAAATCACGGAGAGAAAAAAAAGTAACACTGAATTGGGTGGCAGATCGCCAATAACAGATGGTGACTCAATTTTCCTCTCTTCAAGCAAGTCCAGAGATCACCAAGTCGGGATTGGAATGGCAATGCTCGAAAACCGTACTTTCGAAAAGATTTCCCTTCGGTCCGAAAAGTAACTGTGCGAGTCACTGTATACAAAGAAACTCGGATCTGTTGGTCTTGAGAAGCAGCTGGTGTGCAGTGAGAAACAATGGGTCAGAGAAATTTAGAGCTCTCGCCAATCCAAGGACCATAGGAGTGTCACAGATGTCCTGCTTGCCCACGAAACCTGACCTCTGAGCTATGCCCTGAGAGAAAATGTCTAGCAGCAAACGAATAATTGATCACGTCTGGCGATGGACCACTGACATGCAGCCTTGAGATGATGGCAAAATTAGGGAACGGGACTTGAACGAAGTGAAGAGCAATGGCTGTAGATCCGAGGTGGCGTTCTTGGGCCTGCTGGATAGTCGCCAGTGTTCAAGAAATGGAGGTAACTGAATAATATGAACGAGGTTCAAGTCACATCATCAGCAAGCAGTAAAGAAAAAAAATAGTTGATACTCTATAGCTGCGCTGAGTTATGTTAGAAGGAGGAGAGTGCTGTCCTTCAGGAGGGACGGAGGGGAACTTGAGATCATGAGATGATTAGAGTATCTACTCCGTACTCCACGCATGGATGGAATTTGCTGTGATGAGTTGAGGCGTTCATTGGTCATGTGACTCTGTTTTATAAGCAAACCTATTGTCATGGCATGTGACCCCTAGATCATGTGATGCATCCTTTCCCCCTCCAGTACGGAGGATAGGAATCCAACGATACACTTACACAATAACTACTATGGATTACTGAGGATACAGCTTGCGGTTATGGAATTGGGTGCATCAAGCTTCCCATTTTATGTAGGAATTCAGTATCTGAAAATAAATATCGGCGCAATGGGCGTTGTGTTATTCTGATGTGAATCATTCTATATATACAGTTAAAAGACGTACAACCATCGACCCCAAGCACGCAGTTCTTTTCTGGATGCTCGCCCTATTAGCTAGAACTTCATACTGCTTTCAATGGGGCAATGAGAGTGCAAATGGGCTGCTGTCAAGCTGTATGCGATCAATCGTCGGCTTCGAAGCTGCGGACTAGAAATCCCTCGTTCCGAAGATGTTCCTTGACCTGCCCAACAGTAAATTCGCCACGGTGGAACTATAGCCTCGTTAGCCGAGAAGTAATGAGACTACGAAGGCGGTTCATACCATTCCAGCACCTAATGCCGCGTCGGTGGTTGTATATCGGAAGACATCTTCAAAATGCTTGGGCACACCAGCCCCGCTTGAAGCAATGACAGGGATCCTGATGGCCGCCTTGACATCGTTGATCAACTCCAGGTCAAATCCACTGTTGCTTCCATCCTTGTCAATGCAATTCAGTAGAATTTCGCCAGCACCCATGGCCTCAACAGCCTTCACTAGCTGTCGGACGTCTATATCACGACTCTCTCTGCCACCTTTGATTGTGCACTGATACCAGCAATAACTCTGGCCGCTAGCGTTCGGGTACTTCGTTTTGATCGTGTGATGCTCAGTGTCACCCGGACTTGTGACATAAACACGCTTGGGGTCAACGCTCACAACCACAGCTTGGTTTCCATAAGCCTTCGAAATTGTCTCTATGGCAGTTTTTCCGGTGAGCTTCTCGCCGGATCCATAGTACTCCTCAGCTGCAATGACTGCATCTGATCCAATGCTGACTTTATCGGCCCCAGACTTGAAGTACATTGTAGCAACGTCCAGAGCAGAGATGTGAGTCCCGTCAGGGTCGATAGTGTCCTTGATACCACCTCCGATCGTCAGAGGAACAAAGACGGTCTCCGATGTCCTTCTCAATATTTCCAACATTGGGGTATCTACGAGCGGGCAATTCCGGAAAGATGTGATATTCAGGAAGGTGACCTCGTCCGCCCCTTGCTCGTAATACCTCTTTGCCATGTCAACTGGCTTTCCCAAATTTCTTACCTGACCTCCTGCGTCCACGCCGACCTTCTCTCGCACATCGTATTGATCACCTTTCGTGACGACCAGATCCCCATCATCATTCGTACGGACATCAAGACAGGCGATGATCCTGCGGGTCAACCCGTCTTCCCTCTTTCTTCCCTCCAAACCTTCCGTTCCGATTGGCTGAACTTTGTCACCATTCAAGAACGCACGGAGAGTCCGTAGTCCAGCCTGTCCACTTTTCTCCGGATGAAATTGCGTCGCAAATATATTTTCCCGGGCGATGGCGCCAATAAATTCCTCATCACCGTATGTAGCCGTAGCAACTGACCAGCCGTCGTTCTCTAATACGCCGGCCTTGTAGAGAGCTGCGTAGGAATGAACGTAGTAATACTTGCTGTCCGGGTTCAACCCATAGAAAGTTCGACGCTCAGAGCTTGTATTCATAGCAGAATTCCAGCCTATGTGAGGCACGCTCTTTGTGTCAGCGTTGAATTTCTGCATTCGTTGTGGGATCACCCCCAACCCGGGGGTGTCAGAATCTTCTTCAGAACCCTCGAAAAGTGCTTGTAGACCAACGCATATGCCCATGAAGGGCTTTCCCAGCTCTATATGCTGTCTGATCGGTTCCAGGAAGCCGCCTTCAGAAAGCTGAGAGAGGCAATGACCGAAATGGCCAACTCCGGGTACCACAAGTCTCTGCGATGCCATATGTCAGCGGTGAATCGTGCAGTAGCGGGAAATAAGACTATCAGTAGAGAAGAGTGCGCACATCGGCATTTTTAATATCGGCCGGGGACTTGATCCATTCAACATCGAACCCAACTTTATTGATCGCATTCACCAACGAGCGGACATTTCCTGCGACATAGTCAAGCAGGTGAACAGTCGGCATGGCGGCAGTCCAGTACCTCGCGCCGTAAGACAAGGTGTTGTACTTCAATACCAAAAGTCGAGTATAGTTTGGATCACAGGCTCTGTCTCTCTTGGGTAAGCCCGCAGATATTCGAGGACAAAAAGAATGAATGGAAGTGGCTTTGGGAGAAGATTCATCACCCTCCTCATTAGGAGTCAAACTTCACCCCACCATGGCGGGGGCAGATTTAGCTGAGTCATTCGAAATGATACTTTTTTTCTTTCCTGCCCACATCAATAATAATTTAGACAGCTGACCGCCTTAAAATCTGACACTTTCTCATCACTACTACTAGTACTACTATTTCGGGCTCCCATAGCCTAAAGCTCACTGACCATGCAGTCTAGTAGACTATTGTACAAGAGTATATCTCTTCCAACAGTGATCTTGCTCTGCTAGTCGTCCCCTGCGATCCAGCAAACACTATATCCAACTATGAATGGGATAGTAAACCTGTCCTGAGCAATAGAAACCGATGCTTCTTTTATTTTATTTTATTTATTTTTTTTAATCTGTATCCCTCCATTGTAATGCTTCATGCAAAAAGATTCTCGAAATGTTGAGTCAGGCGGTCTGTGGATATTGCTTGACCCATTTTAACGCTATATCATGAACAAGCGCCTTTATGAAACTTCGTCTCCACTGGGAAGACTGACAATCAATGGCAAATCCGAAGCAACGTTGTCAGAATTTTGGAGATAGATGAGGCCGTTTCGAGGCTGTGCTTGGATAAGCCTGTTATGTTGAGTCCAGAAGGGACGGTATAGCTTACCGGGGAAAACTGTCTCAGACATACTCCAGCAGCTTTCAAGATCGCAGCACTCTGCCTCCTGTTAGCTGCGTTTGCTCAAGTGCGGTGGTTCAGACAAACTTCTTGGTCCATGTTGTATCCTTGGGAATATACCACTTCCGAAATACCGACTTGGGCGATCTTGACCGTACACGTCAAGCAAGGGCATCTGCTGATCATCAACGTCTGTAAAGCAACGAGCAGGATCTGGGAATCTGACGTATCGCAATAGAGTATTGAGCCTTCACGTATACGCTCTCGGCCTGCTTCCAACAAAGCGTTCTCTTCAGCATGAAGACAAAGGCATGTCGAAAGGCCAACACCTCCTCCTTCTCCACGGTTGCACCGTGGACCTGGTCGATGTAAGTTTCTCTTCAAAGGCACGAGAAAATTAATGAAAAGCTGCAAGCCTTCGGGGGATTTCATACATCCACCTTCGTTGCAGTTGGTAAGATGCCGAGGAGTCCCGTTGTATCCAGTGCTAATTACACGGCGCTCCCTAACGAGCACACAGCCCACTCTTCTCTTCATGCAATTGCTTCTCTGCGCAGCGAGTGAAGCTAGTTGCATGAAATACTGGTCCCAATTCGGACGCAGCCGTTGCTCATCAGCGAGATTCAGCGCTTCTAGAGCAGCATGCAGCTCCTCTAGAGAAGAGGATGAGTTGAATAATCGCACTTGCGCACGATCCGTCAGATAGGCGCGTCCGATGTCTTTATCATAAAGATGCCGATCGTTCCATATAACGAATTTCTCAAGTGGCGGGGGATCAAGCTGTCTCCTTCGGCACCTAAAATTGGAGTGAAATTTTTATATTTCCATACGGCATATGGTGTTGAAAGTATAGGGTCTTGGCAGGGAAATTACCTATCTGTGAACCGCTTCCATCGAAGACTGACCGGCGCATCAACGCTCACTAGGAGGAAAAATGGACGCTGAAGAAAACGCTCTATGGTCACAGCATCCCAGATATCCGTTGTGACCCAGCGCTCCCTCCATCTTTTCGTTGCAAAGTCTAGGAGGGACTCGACGCTCTCGAATAAGAATTCCGAAGACGGTTTATTCCTCTTGTTGCTGATTTCCGAAGCTTGTAACCGAATATCGTCTTCTAGCTCATCAGTTATCCGAGGGTAGTTTTTGTTGTTCAACTCAAGTAGTTGGA